GCATGTATTTGTTTCTGCAGAAGGTGAAGTGTTGGAAGCAGAAACTTGAGAGATTGGATTGTCTTTTACAAGGTCATTCACTGTTTGAAGCTCAGCTCGCACAGCTGTAGAAAATACCATAGTCTGCCCTGTACATTGGATCTGACTGTCATTAGCTTGGTCCTTCATATAAATGGGCTTTACCACCTGCCCACTTATATCATTTTCCTTACCAACTACTAAAGGTATATCTCTTGGCAAGGTGGTGACTGCATCTATAAGATTTGTAGAAGACAGATTTACTGAAAAAAAGTTTTCTTAAGAAAAAGAGACTCTTTGATTAAGGAGGGAATTGAGTATGACACTTGGAATTTATCTTATAATATTTTGTTTGCTTCTGAGTAGGCTGTTTCTCGATAGTAAATATTGATTTGTGGGTATATTAGTGATTTGTCAAGAGAGTTAAAAAAGGTTAAGACTCTTGCCAACAGTTTTGTACTAATGGGCTTAAAGGTAATAAATTCTATTGCTTGCTGTTTGTCAAGTTTGTCAATATAGTGATTTTGTGCTGCAATGTTTTGATATAGGTTAAAATAAAGATAGAAATAGTAGTTACATTGTTTGAAATTAGTTTGAATCTTATTGATTTTGCAAGCAGATTTTTCTATTTCTGTTGCAAGCTCATCAAGAAGAGTAGTAGGAATTTGTTTATTGAAAGATGCTTCATGTTTGCTATTTTTGTAAAAAATAGATAGATCAATCTCAGATTGTTTCCAAATTTCATTTTCTTGTTTTGGAAAATCTTCATATAATTTTTTAAAGATATCATTTGATAATTGTGAGAAGTTGTGTTAATATAAAGGTTTTAGGGTCATAGATAGATTTGTATTTTTTGTTTTTTTTCCTTTATTTTTAGGTTCTATTTGTACTAGATAGGAACAGGTTTCTTCTTTACAGGTAAGAATATGAAAGTTTGCAAGTTTTATAGTTTCATCTTGGCATCTTTGAAAATTATAAAATTGTTGAAAGTTTATTGTAGTAGGTAGTGTTTCTTTAAGATGAAAGATAAATTGCTGTCAGATTTGGTATTTTAAAGAGTTAAAAACTTTAGTTTCATCTAGTGTTTAAGTAAATTGATGATTATATATTGAGAAAAATTATTTAAACCATTGTTTTAAATGGTTTAAAGAGTTTGTAAGAAATGGAATGTTTAGTTTTTAGTAAAAAAGTGTTTTTGGAATATTGAAGTCAAGATAGATGTTAAATTTGCTGTTAGATCTAATTATAACATATTGCTTATTTTTCTCAAAATCAGATACTTTTGATATTATATTAAATCTTTTAGGTCGAAGTTGGAAGTCTTCAGCAAATTTAATATAATTGATGGCTTGATAGTTATTTGAAAGATATAAATGAATACAAGCTAGATTAATGCAAAATTGTAATCAGTTTTGATTGGTATATAGAAGGATAATCACTGAGGATGCAAAGATTTTAAAGTAATTGAGTTTTGTAAACAAAATTGTTATAAATGCTAATATAAGTTTTTTAAGAGTTTCTTTAAGAATGTTAAAAGGAATTGTAATTGCTTTATTTGTATTAGAATTAGTTTGTTGAATAAAGTCAATAAGGAATTGGGATCTGTCTCTAGCCATTTTGCAAATAATGTAGTAAAAGCTAGTTTTAAGAGCTTTTTGCTTAAAAGTTTCAGGTTTGATTTCTTTACTAGAGTAAAAGTCATGTATGTAGGATTTGAGAAAATTGAAGATTTTTCTAGAAAATTCTGTTTGAAGTTGTGATTTATCTTTTATATCATCAGAAATTGGGAAGTTAGCAAGCCAGTCAAATATTAGATTAGCTTTGATTTTTTGTTAATTATTAGTAGTAGTGGTTTGGAGTTGTTGTTACTTTTATTTATTTGTTTCTTGCTGTTGTTGTTGCTGTTCTTTAGAATAGAATGAGTTTTGATATGGAGGTTGTTGTTGTTGTTGTTGTTGATTGTTGTTGTTAATGATATTATTATCTAGGTCTATGTTATTTGTAGTATTATTGTTGTTATTAGGTGAGGTTATGAATATGAGTTCAGATACTAGTGGATTATAGAAATTGATCATTTGTTGGAGTTTTTGAATGAATATAGGTAAGGAGCTTGATTGTTGAATATGTTGTTGGATATTTGCGCATATTTTATAATGGGATTTGACATTATATAAAATTACATCTGCTGCCAGATAATATTAGTTGTTTATTTCTTTATAGGCAATAGGCAAGTTATATTTGCACATTAGTGATTATGTGTAGTGGGTGAAGATGATACTATAGGAGATGACAGAATAAATTCAGTAGAGTTTGCAATGTTGTTTGCTAGAGATTTTTTGTCTTTAGATTTTTTATTGGTAAAGATGACTTCATATTATTTATAGATTTGATTAGTAATCGAGATAAAGTGAGTATGGAATTTGTCATAAAAATATGTAACAATAGAACTAGATTCAGGTACTTTAAAGTAATAACAACTTTTAGTTCCTCCTCTAAGTTCTGTATTTAAGCAATTATTTGGTTGCTTGTTTGCAGAAATAGAACATAATGTATTAGCTACATCTTAGAGGATACCAATACCAAAACTTTTAGGACACTTTTGGTAAAAATAATCGAGATCAATAGTATCAGGTGCAACTGTTGTCAAGATCAACATTTTGTTTTAAAAATAGATTTTTAAATATGTTTTATGAAAATATTTGTTTAATTTAGAAGTTTCTAGACTAGTTAAGAAAGTTTGGAAAAATGTATGAGCTTCAGATAAGCTTATTGGATGTTTAGGAAATTCTAATAAGTACCAAAAAAGTGAAATTTCTAAGACAACCCAACAAGTTTTTCTAAAATTACTAATGAAAAAACCTGCAAAAAATAAATTTTTGTTTTCGTTTTTTGCTTGTATCTTAGTGAATTTTGGTCTGTTTTTAACAAATTATATATTAAAATATTTGTCTCAGTGAGTTGAACAACTTTTGAATAGTAATAAAGTTAGATTTAATTAGTAAAATTATGTGTAAAAGAACAAAAACCAAAACTTGGTTTTTAGAACTTTTCTCAGCAACCAAGTATTATTGGTAAATAAAACTTAGCCACCTAGGAGGAGAAAAGTGTGCTGAACAACGTTACTTAAGAGGTCAAGTAAGGTTTACTTAGTAAAAAGTAGAGAAATAATCAAATGTTTTTTTGTAGTTTTGGTATAAATGATCTACAGAGAGAATTGCTTGCAAATTCTATATTTTTAAACTAATTAATTTAACAATCTACTTATAAATTTTTATTAAGAAAATTCTATTTTGACCTGGGTCAAAATAACCTCTCCTATAATTTAAGGTTAGTGCAGACCAAAATTATGTTAATACTAATCAGGGTTTTTTTAATATAAAAACCCATCCGACATTAACGGCCCACACTAACCCTGAATTTTAAGAGGGATTATTTTGACCCAGGTCAAAATAGAATTTCTCTTTTTATTAAACATAAAATTGAACTACATAACATGTTCTTTTTATTACAACAACTCTTTTAAGCATTAAATATTATATATAACTTTTTTAGGTTACAAAATTTAATCTCAAATAACTTATCTGCAACTTGCAACATTAATCTAAATACACTTATTACTTTATTTTACAAAATATCAAATAATATACATAAACAAATATGAACAAAAAAATACAAAACAATATATCAAAATAGTTTACTAACATATATACTAACAATCATAACTTCTGAACACTCACCTACATATCAAATAACTGCAATTAAATATGAAAAATAGGCAATCATTTTTCCTACTAATAACATATCTATATCTTACATTGCAACACTAAATCTAAAAAAGGTCTAACAGCTTACTCTCATAAAGTTTTAAGCTAATAATAAACTAGTTCTAACTATAAACCCATGTAATAATTCATGTAAAACATTTTAGTTAATGTAATACCAAATTGTTCAATAAAGACTGAGGCCAGGCCTTACTCTTGAAAAAAAAAACTTTCATGTATTTCGATATACTGCGCCAAAAATACAGTATTTTTTGAATCGCTAAAACTTTCTATAGAAAATTTTTTTTAAAAAAATTATCAATATAACTTTATACACCGAACTGAGCTCTACAAAGATCGGTTCTTTTTTCAAATCGTTATAACTTTTACAGAAGAATTTCTTTAAAAAACTGACTAATAACTTTGTGGAGCTCAGTTCGGTGTATAAAATGATAGATAAATTTTTTTAAAAAATTTTTTCTATAGCGATTCAGAAATACTAAATTTCGGCGCAGTATGTCGAAATACATTAATTTATTGAAACATTGGCCATATGGGTAATTATTTTCGAATCCAGACCGAAATGTTATTACGTCGTATATAAAATTGGTCCGGGTTCGAAAATAATTACCTATAGTACCGATGTTTAATTTAAATTCCGGTACGTAATTGATTTTTTTGGGCGAAGCTTGGCTGCTCCGCATCCATTAATTCTGTATAACCGATCTTGGAAATGCGGATTTTAAATTTAATCAATCAGAGTAACAACTCTATTGAAAAATGATAATCATGACGCTCGAGAGCACCCTAAGCCTCGAAACTTCTTTTAATGCTAATATTAAGATATAGGAGAAATTAATCATGTTATATACCTAGATCCTAAAATCAGGATTTGGTCTTTATAGATCGGGTCCCTAGAGTCTGATCGTATTTTGTTAATATCATAGTTTGCAATTTTTAATTCTAGAGTACGTACACAAAGCTAAATAGTTACGAAACACATGATTTTAACTTACGTAAGTCACGTCACGTCACTTACGCAAGTCATGTCACTATTACGCAACCTTGACCACAATAGTTACAGTAACAAATCGCAAAACTTTCGATATCTTCTTATGCCGATCTTGGTCTAGACCAATCAAATTTTGATATATATTAGATCGATTCATACGCGACTTGTTTTGCGTAATAACTTTTCTTTCTTGTATAGAACGATAAAATATGGCTCAAAATCAGGATTTTTCAACGGTAACTCATGAAGAATCACGAGAGGAACTTGAAGTCGGTGAAAATGAAGGTTCAAATACAACTATTAATTTAGAAGAGAAAGTTGAACTTGACGAATTTATTGCAAATCATGCTGCTGAACACTTGGTAAATTCTAAAACTACGGTCCAGGATAAACAAACTAGACTTATAACTTCCAGCGAAATCAACATAACAAATGAAATTTTATCAGATCAGACTTTAGAAACCACAGTATCTAAAGAGACAAAAGATTTTATTGGCAATAATATCTCTGTTCATATGGTTGAAGTCGAAAAAATCTTGGGTGATGGCAAAGATCTCACTACCAAAGAGACGGCTTTTAGTAAAAATACTATCACGCCGATAGGTGACGTCCACTTAACTCAGTTCGACGATAATGATGATGAATTAATTGATAGACAATATGATTTCATGAGAACTGAGGAAAAGAAGTCTCATGATAGCGAAGAATACATTGATAATCCACGTGATTCTGTAAAGAATGAGGAAAATGTATCTCTTGATGACGAAGACATTTATAATTCACATGAAAATATTCCACATAATTCTACAAAGAATGAAGAAAAAGCATCTCTTGATAAAGATATTGATATCCTACATGATTCCATGAAGACCGAGGGAAATGTATCTCTTGATGATAAAGAGGACGTTTATAGTCTACATGATAATATTCCACATGCTTCTATAAAGAATGGGGAAAAGGTATCCTTTGATATTCCACATGATTTAATAAAGATCGAGGAAAAAGTATCTCTTGATTATGAAGTGGAAATTTATAGTCCACATAACAATATTTCACACGATTCCATAAAAAATGTGGAAGATGTATCTCTTGATGAAGATATTGATAGTCCACATGATTCCGTTAAGACCAAGGAAAAGTTATCTCTTGAAGGTGAAAGCGATGATGGTCCATATTATTCTGCAAAGATCGATGAAAAGGTATCCCTTGACAATGATGATGTTGAATCGTCAGCTCCATCTACGCCACAAGGCGAAGAAAATATATTAGCAACCATTTCTAAGGTAGCACCAGAGTTGAAACAAGTTTTAGATACTTGGAACGGTGAATTAAGTAGATATAAAAACTCAAAAGATCGCACCGATACATTGGGCAAAGATACTGACTCGGATAAATTATTACAAGGCCAAATAACATACGTAAAAGAGGATGTTATCGAAGAAGAGAAAAAACACGACGTAAGAGATGAAGATAATTTTATATCAGACGTACAAAGCTTATCGTCCAAACGGACCAAGGATGTCTTGGATAAAGACCTTGATTCGGATAAATTCTTGCAAGGAGAAACCGTGTACGTAAAAGAGAATGTTATCGAAGAGGAAAGACGCAACATGAAAGATAAAGATGATTTTATGTCAGATATACAAAGCTCTCCATATAAAAGAATCAAAAACGTCTTGGGCAAGAATTCCGATTTAGATAAATTATCGCAAGATGCAATCACATACGTAAAAAAGGATATTATTGAAGAAGATAAACACAACGTAAAATATGGAGAGAACTTTATATCATCAGACCTACAAAGCTCACCATCTAAGCGAATCAAAATTGAAGTTAACTTGAACGAAAAATCAGGTAAACGCTCCCAATGGATTAGTCTGACATTAGCACAATTACCTCAGTTTACTAATAATGACTATATTTTACAGATGATAATGTTTCAAATGCTCAAAGTCTCCTTCAACCCACGTCAAGTACACCATCATCCGTCTTTTTAGATGTCGTTGAGTCTATGTTTGTTCCAGGATTTAACAGAAATGTTGTATTGGCCATAGACCTCGTTTTTCTGATGTTGCTTATGATTGAAGGTGTACTTGCAGTAATGACTGATTATAATGTTTATGTACTTGTTCACATGGGAATCACCTTGGCACTATTTATTGCTTTACAATTGTAAGTATTGTTTAAAAGTTAAATATTTATTTTAATAAACGTAAATGTATTCAATTATTATGTTCTCCATTTACAGGTTTCTTGCTGAAGCTTATCGTGCACAAGTAGAAGAGGTTGGCTTAATTGCCAAAAAAGAGGAGTAGAAGATTAGGATGCTACATATTTACTACAATCTTAGTTTTTCATTTTCGTACTTTCAAACGTGCACCTTCCATTTTTTGCATATATTAAATATTTCCACTTGGCCATTTTAAGTTAGGAGAAAATACATCAATTAACTCAAATTTAACATGTTTATTGCTTGTAAATAATATAATTACAAAATTCTATCGATTAAATGATACTAAGAATCAAACATAATAATCTTTCGGCTAACAATATTATAATTGCTAAATTACAAAAGTAAAAATATTTAATAGGAATTTTTAAAAATTATACGATTATTTTGTTAATATACTTCTAAGATATATCGTTCCAAATCCTTTAATTTATCTACTGCAGCTGAAGCATCACCTAATGATAATTTTCCTGCAGACGTAAAACTATTAACAATTGCATCTCTCACATCCGGTACGGGCCACGTAGGTCCGCAAAGATAAAACCAACCTTCATCTTTTAGCAAATATTGATGTAATAATTCTGAATCATCTTGCATCTTATGTTGAATGTATACTTTATGTGGTTGATCACGAGAAAATGCTAGCCGAAGATATGTGAGCAATCCTTCTGTGTGATAAGCTTCTAATTCTTCACCATACAAATACTCCATAGATCGATTACGAGATCCAAAATAAAGAATCATTGGACCAACTTCTTTACCTTGTGACTTCCTATAAGCACGTTCCTCAATAAATGCACGGAATGGTGCCATTCCAGTACCCAAACCTGCCATGATAACAGGCTGAGTATCTCGTGGTGGAAGTTTCATTACCGATGGTTTTATTGATACTACAACACGAGTACCAACTTTTAAGCCAGACAGATAACGTGTACATTGACCGAATCGTTTTTTACCAATAGAGGTTACCCAATCCACAGTAACCACTAATAAATGTACGCTATTCGGATGCACACTTTGTGCGGATGCAATTGAATAGTGACGTGGTTTAATAGGTGCGATTATTTGAACCAAGTCTTCAACAGGTGGACGAGCAGATGTGAATTCATAAAATAAGTCAGCGTAAGTGATGGTGTCCGCAACACGACGTTTAAATTCCACAGATCCTTCACTACTTGAGATCCATAATAGTCGTTTTCTTTCATTATCATCAGTGGCATAAAATGCCAAAGATTCATAAAAACGTTTAGCAGGGCGACCGAATATATCAAGAATTTGAACAAAGACCTGTTGTATTGTTTTTGTTTCAAATTTATCACCTTCTTTGTTAGGTATTGAAATAAGATCATTAGGATCTAATCCATAATATTCTAAGAATTCATCAACTTCTTCGGGATCATTGTGACCATATACACCCAGAGCTTCACCCAAATCATACTTCAGACCCGTTCCAGTTATATCAAATTCAATATGGAATAGGTAACGATCATATGTCGGAGGTGTAAGTCGACGGTTTTCCGTAACAGTAATAATAAAGGTCTTTTCTGCTACATCAGGTCGCTCGACATTACTGAAACCAAAAGCCTCTTTAAATAATAAATTGCGGACAGCTGTATGCCAAGACCCAAGTTCAGGTTTAACATTTAACTGAAAATCAATTGGTCTTCCGAAAGAATTATTGTCAACAGCAGAAGGCAAGACACAATCTGATTTTTCCAAAATTTGCCATGCTGGCGGAGGTTCAACAAAAGTAAGCGCTTTATCGGTTTCTTGAACAGCTGAATGAAGAATAAGACTAACTTCTTTGTCGTTGTTGCCTTCATAAAGCTCTGAAAGGGCATCTTCCAAGTGACACTTAATTTTATATTCTTTAGTAATCAATCTTAAAAACGCTAGTTGTAATATCAAACTGATATGCTCATCGATGTTCAAACCTAAATTCTGAACTATTTTATTCGAATCTATTATATATAGTTTAATCTTACGCTTAAAAGCTTCATATCTGAAATCATTTGGCAATTTAGTTTCTAAATCATCTGCGGTCCAACTGGTATTAAGGAGAACGATGGTACCATCTTTAGCGGGAGCTAAAATATCATATTTGCTGATTAATGTGTCATCATGGATTGAGATATATTCAGCATCAATTTTAAGATCATGTAATACATCTGTAAGTTCATTCCCTAATAAGAAATTAGTAGTGGAGACGCCACCATTATTGTATGCATCAAATGTGGAAAGGCTAGAAACATTTAAATTCGAATGACGAATTAATACATTTGCAATGTGTTGGTTAGATAATAAAGTTCCCTTGGATTCGGCATCCCAAAATACACATCGTTTTACATTACTTAATGTGGATTGAATTTTGAGATTATCTGACAAAGGATCAATGTTAAAATCAACGTTTACTCCTAACTCTAATTGTTGTAAAAGTGTATCAACAGTAGAAGATGTAAATTGTTTGGATATAGGGAACTTTACATCTATTAATTGAGGCATATGACCAAACCCTGGATCAATTAGTGAAGCAACAACATCATTGAACAACGATAAACCCATATCATGTGAACCATCAAAATTTAAGGCGACTTGCTCTAATACGGCAATTTTCTTTGTTGTCTTGGGGATCATTGCTAAAAAATGTTTTTCAGACCATGGTCGATATAACCTGACTATGATAACTCCAACCTTTTTACCATTATCACTAAGATGTTTCACTACTTCTTTAACGATGTCAGTTTCCCCACCGCAAGAAACTAACAATATGTTGGCATCACGAGATCCAACATATTCAAATGCCCGATATTGACGCCCGACGAGCTTTCCAACTCTATTTATAATGCTTTCGATTTTATCCACAATTATTAATGAATTTGTTGATAGCGGACTATTTGATGAGATTGATAATTCTTTGCTTAATTTAAGTATTTCAGCGTAAGGAACAAGGTTTACCACGGAATTTCCACAAGCGACCTTAACACCATCAAATATATGCAAGAATGGTGTTTTTGTCGAGACAGAAATTAAATGTGTAATTAACGCAATATCATGCATTTCTTGTGCGGAATAAGAGTTTATTATTCCAAAACCAGTGTCACGTGCCATTAACGCGTCATAATAATTAACAGTATTGTGCATATTATCATTGAACCCTTGAGCGGATACGTGAATTGTTAATGGTATTCTCTCACGAGAAATAGAGTATAGATTTGGTAACATCGAGACAATGGATTGTGACGATGCAAAAGCTACAAGCTTCCCAGAATACGCAAAAGACGCAGCACCCAAAATCGCTAGTGAAGCACCAGAACGCGTATCCATTTTGACAATATTGCACACTTTACCAAAAGCATTACCCATATTCCGTGTAGACCAGTGTAAAGTAGGTTCACCAGTGTAATTAGAGTATGTTGTTGGATAAATAAAAACTGTATCGCTTAAAGCGTAGGCTACGTGCGCCACAGCTGTTTTATTATCCACAAATTTCACACCGCCCTCAGAGAACAAAGGATAGTTATCAACAATTTTTGATTTAAAAACGAGAGGTAAGTCATCAATAATTGTAGAGGACGTTGAAGATACTTCAGATTTATCCACTTCAATATTCGCGTATTCAGAGGTTAATTTTTTAATATCTTTTGGCGTAAGTTTTGCAAGTTCATCAAGAGATAATGAATTAGTTATCTTGGTAAGAACGGACATGTTTGCAACACCAAGACTTTGCCTGAGAAGGATTACACTATTAATAGCATCTGCAGTGTTGTTCGGTAAATTTTCAATAATGTGTTCCCTAAGTTTACGCGCAATTTGAGGACCAGTGCCGTTAGTTGATATTGCGACTTGAAGACTGCCATCTCGATAAGTTGGCATAAGCCAAAAATCACACAATTGAGGTATTTCTGCGACATTAATAGGAATTTTTTGTTCGCGGGCGGCAATCGCAATTTTATTTGATAATTGTACATCATCAACGGCGGAGAAAATAAGATCGATGGGGTCATCTGTTTTTGACAGATAGTCTACCTTAAATTCGCCAGCTTTATGTATAATGGCATATTTCTCAATATATTCTTTAACTTTATCGGAGATCTTTGATTGTGGTGCTATAAGAGTTATCTTTCGAGGTTTAGCGTCCAAAGCAAATTCGATGCGGTTTGCAGCAATTTGGTTGCCACCAATGATAAGCACATGGTGACTTTGTAATCTCCATCCGATGATTAAAGAGTTAGGCTGTGTAGAGTCTCTACTCATTTTTTTATTTTTTTAGTTTTTTATTTTTTTGGAGGTAAATTTGATAAACTTCTTTCTCCTTATCTCGAAATTTGCTGTTTGTATTGCACAATTTAAAAAAAAATTTAGATCATCGACACGCTATCTTATTGGCTACCTAGGTAGGATTACTAATACACACTGATCCAAAAAGAGGTCATATTGTACATACATTCATATGAATTATTTATACTACTCACGTTGCAGATGTTCGAATCGAGTGTAACCATGAAACAGACGAATATGGAAAATTAAACCGTACAATGTGTCCAGAATTGGTACCGAAACTATTAAAATAAAAAATCGTGTATCCATCTTTTGCACCGAATATAACAGGAAATCCATTTTCTTTTAATCAGCTTTTAAGTGGACTAAATTCGAATTCAAAAATATGAAGAAATATAAGGATAGATTTTCACAAATCATAGTTTTCCTGATAAAATCGACAAGTATTATAAATTTGAGTTGTAATCGCTTCTCAGCTAGATATTCTAAGGTATTGAATGTTCATGCGCGATCAATATTTTTTGAATGCATTTCTTTGTAAACAAATTTTATAATCAATTACAAAAATAATTAAAAAAAATAACAGTCTTTTATTCGGATCTTATGCGTAATTATTAATTTTAGATCATGACATATTCTTTGTCATAATTTCATTGGCACAAGTAGTAAATCTTTTCCGCATAAGTCCGAAACAAATCAAATAGCAAATTTTTGCAATTAGCTTCCAACCTCTAAGTAAAATGACACATCCTATGATCGTTTTCTCATATTTAATAAAGACTATTTGAATATATTGCAAACCCAAGT